TATTATTGTACCCACGAACGAGCGGTATTGATCAGTAACAACACTGCGACTGAACATTAAAATGGTATAAAATACCGACAGATTGTTAGGTAAGACACATATGCAACAGTTAGGTATCTTTATTATGAAACGTTTCGCCTACACAGTAGCCTACTGTGTAGGCGAAACGTTTCAAAATAAAGATACCTAACTGTTGCATATGTGTCTTACCTAACAACACTGCGACTAGCCAAGGAGTCTAGCCCATGCTGCTTTGGACTAGAGCGTCATGCGTCTTTCGCTCACCTCAAAGCAGCATGGGTTCGACTCCTCGGCTAATCGCAGTGTTGTTACTGATTGTTTTGTATATATATGTTGTTAGTCCATTTATAGCCAGGCTCCCTGACAAAGCCTTAATCACGTGACCCCCGTTTGAATTTGGCACATAGGCGGTGCCTTACAGACCTCTGCCTCACTCTGCACCAGAACTAGGAGACAGGCAGATGGTGTAGGCTGGGCTCACCTAACAGTTTATCAGTTGTGTTCTTGATGCCATCACTTACTAACACGAACCCTGATACTGCGCTTAGCTACTTGTTTCTGCTTTCATCACGATAACAACAAATATATTATATACATCAATTCACCACAGACCATCATCACATGCTATAGTTAACCCTCTCAGCAGCTAAATTGTCTTTATACCTCTAAAACACTGACAAATTGACATTCGAGTCGCCATGACACTCGGTATCCCCGTCAAAGATCTCACTAGGAAGCATGATAAGTGTTTCCTGAGGAGGGTTTCTGTTATATGATGACTGATGCTTGTCCAGTCATTATATAACCGGGATCATATAACCAGACCTCTGTTGATCTCAGGGAGATCTGGTAGACCAAGGCTGGCCTTACTAGGACTAAGGACAAGGCCCAGGAACCAGTCTGTGGTAATTTGTTATGCGGGGGATGTGAGGTGTACATCGGAGAAACAACGTAACATAGACGCATCTAAACGAGCACACTTAAGTGTGCAGATAACAACAATGCCTGCCTGCTGCACCAAAACTTCACCAGCCACTTGAAAAAAGTGGAGTGATGCCCGATTAGTTAATGAGGAACCATACACTTGTAAAACGTAAATGTCTGGAGGCTGCTTAATTTCCCCCTTGACACAGTAACTCGGTCACCTTCACCTAGGTACCAGCCCTTCACACAATAATTCAGTCATCTTCACCTAGGTACCAGCCCTTCACACAGTAATTCAGTCATCTTCACCTAGGTACCAGCCCTTCACACAGTAATTCAGTCATCTTCACCTAGGTACCAGCCCTTCACACAGTAAGTCACCTTCACCTAGGTACCAGTCCTTCACACAGTAACTCAGTCACCTTCACCTAGGTACCAGCATGTATCCTTCTAAAGTCGTAAAGCACTGCTATTACATGAAAGCAAAGCATACCTAAATTACTACCACTACTGACTCACACACTACTACTATTACTACTACTTCTACTATTACTATCACTACTACTATTACTATCACTATTACTATTTTCATGGCCAGTGCCTTCCGAGCACCTGACAGGACCTCTCTTGTGTACTCTCCAGGACCATGTTTGTGCTGCATAGATAATTTCCTGCTGGATAAGACTGGCCTTTCATGAATCTAAACACAGGCTCATTATGCAAATTATATTCATCAAGATAACTTATAATTATATTTGCTATTATTCATTTTAATTATTTTTCTCTTGCTGAGGTCTGGCTTGAGTTTCGTTAATGTTTTCTTGTGTAACGAACCAGCGGAACGATACTAAGAATTGAATACATATATTTGATTCAGGTTAATGACATGCAATATATCTCGTTGATCAACTAGGTATTTGTAAAAACGCCTGGGTAACTTTATTTCATAAAACGTTTCGCCCATCAATGGTTTTTTAAATTTCCCAGTACGGAACAGAGGTCAAGTCTGTGCCCACACAGGTCGACTCCCCACTAACACAGGTCAAGGAAGGTGTACTGAGACGTTTATCATAACTGCGCACACACACGAAGGTGTTTGTTGCAGATGTTTCTCTCTTGGACCTAAGCCACTTCAAATACATGTTTTGGACATGATTAAATCCCTAGTAGCGAAATGTTCATTTTAACATTACTGATCCACCCCGTGTGAGTGTTGGCGTGGGAGTTGGCATCAGTAGGTGGGTGTGAACATGGGTATTGGGTTTGTGGGCGGGTGTTTACTTGTCTGGGTAATGCGGGGGTAAGCGTGGTGGATGGGCGTGGTGTGTGTGGGAATGTTTGGAGAGTCCAAACACAGCTGACACTCAAGTTATTTCTAACATTAATCATGAAAACACTGTATATATAGTACTGGAACTTAGACAATAATATAATGTGAATGTTGGGATGTGTGGGCGTCAGTGTGGGTGTGTGGGCGTCAGTGTGGGTGTGTGACTGGTGTGTGGGCGTCAGTGTGGGTGTGTGACTGGTGTGTGGGCGTCAGTGTGGGTGTGTGACTGGTGTGTGGGCGTCAGTGTGGGTGTGTGACTGGTGTGTGGGCGTCAGTGTGGGTTTTGTGGGCGTCAGTGTGGGTGTGTGACTGGTGTGTGGCGTCAGTGTGGGGTTTTGTGACTGGTGTGTGGGCGTCAGTGTGGGTGTGTGACTGGTGTGTGGGCGTCAGTTGGTGGGTTTTGTGGGCTGGTTGTGTGGGCGTCAGTGTGGGTGTGTGACTGGGTGTGGGCGTCAGTGTGGGTTTGTGGGCGTCAGTGGGGTGTGTGACTGGTGTGTGGGCGTCAGTGTGGGTGTGTGACTGGTGTGGGGCGTCAGTGTGGGTTTGTGGGCGTCAGTGTGGGTGTGTGATGGTGTGGGGCTCAGTGTGGGTTTGTGGGCTTCATGTGGGTGTGTGGACTGGTGTGTGGGGGTCGTGTGGGTTTGTGGGCTTCGTGTGGGTGTGTGACTGGTGTGTGGGCGTCAGTGGGGGGTTTGTGGGCGTCAGTGTGGGTGTGTGACTGGTGTGTGGGCGTCAGTGTGGGTTTATGGGCGTCAGTGTGGGTTTGTGGGTGTCTGTTGGTTTTTGGGCGTCAGTGTGGGTTTGTGGGTGTCTCTGTTGGTTTGTGGGCGTCAATGTGGGTTTGGGGCGTTAGTGTGAATTTGTGGGCGTCAGTGTAGGTTTGGGGCGTTTGTGTGGGTTTGTGGGCGTCAGTGTGGGTTTGTGGGCGTCAGTGTGGGTTTGTGGGTGTCTGTTGGTTTTTTGGGGGTCAGTGTGGGTTTGTGGGCGTCAGTGTGGGTTTGTGGGCGTCAGTGTTTGGGTTTGTGGGCGTTAGTGTGGGTTTGTGGGCGTCAGTGTGGGTTTGTGGGCGTCAGTGTGGGTTTGTGGGCGTCAGTGTGGGTTGTGGGCGTTAGTGTGGGTTTGTGGGCGTCAGTGTGGGTTTGTGGGCGTCAGTGTGGGTTTGTGGGTGTCAGTGTGGGTTTGGGGGGTCAGTGTGGGTTTGTGGGCGTCAGTGTGGGTTTGTGGGCGTCATTATGGGTTTGTGGGTGTCAGTGGGGGGTTTGTGGGCGTCAGTGTGGGTTTGTGGGGGTCGTGTGGGTTTTGAGCGTCATTATGGTTTGTGGGTGTCTCAGTGGGTTTGTGGGCGTCAGTGTGGGTTTGTGGGCGTTAGTGTGGGGTTTTTTGCGCGTCAGTGTGGGTTGTGGCGCCAGTGTGGGTTTGTGGGCGTCAGTGTGGGTTTGTGGGTGTCTCTGTTGGTTTGTGGGCGTCAGTTGTGGGTTTTGTGGGCGCTAGTGTGGGTTTGTGGGCGTCAGTGTGGTTTTTTGGGCGTCAGTGTGGGTTTTGTGGGCGTTTGTGTGGGTTTGTGGGCGTCAGTGTGGGGTTTTTGGGCGTCAGTGTAAGCTTGTGGGCGTCAGTGTGGGGTTTTTTGGGCGTTAGTGTGGGTTTGTGGGTGTCAGTGTGTGTTTGTGGGGGTCATTGTGGGCTTGTGGGTGTCTCAGTGGGTTTTTTGGGCGTCAGTGTGGGTTTTTGGGCGTTAGTGTGGATTTGTGGGCGTCAGTGTGGGTTTGTGGGCGTCAGTGTGGGTTTGTGGGCGTCAGGTGGGCTTGTGGGTGTCTCACTGGTTGTGGGCGTCAGTGTGGGTTTGTGGGCGTCATTGTGGGTTTGTGGGCGCCAGTGTGGGTTTGTGGGCGTCAGTGTGGGTTTGTGGGTGTCTCTGTGGGTTTGTGGGCTCAGTGTGGGTTTGTAGGCGTCAGTGTGGGTTTGTGGGCGTTAGTGTGGGTTTGTGGGCGTCAGTGTGGGTTTTTGGGCGTTAGTGTGGGTTTGTGGGCGTCAGTGTGGGTTTGTGGGGCGTCAGTGTGAGTTTTTGGGCGTCAGTGTGGGTTTGTGGGCGTCAGTGTGAGCTTTTGGGGTCCAGTGGGTTTGTGGGGGTCAGTGTGGGTTTGTGGGGTCAGTGTATGTTTGTGGGCGTCATTGTGGGTTTGTGGGCGTCAGTGTGGGTTTGTGGCGTCACGTGGGTTTGTGGGCCGTCAGTGTGGGTTTGTGGGCGTCACTGTGGGTTTGTGGGCGTTAGTTTGGGTTTGTGGGTGTCTCTCTGTATGTTTGTGGGCGTCAGTGTGGGTTTGTGGGCGTCAGTGTGGGTTTGTGGGCGTCAGTTGTGGGTTTGTGGTGTCAGTGTGGGTTTGTGGGCGTTAGTGTGGGTTTTTGGGCGTCAGTGTGGGTTTGTGGGCGTTAGTGTGGGTTTGTGGGCGTCAGTGTGGGTTTGTGGGTGTCAGTGTGGGTTTGTGGGCGTTAGTGTGGGTTTGTGGGCGTCAGTGTGGGTTTGTGGGCGTTAGTGTGGGTTTGTGGGCGTCAGTGTGGGTTTGTGGGTGTCAGTGTGGGTTTGTGGCGTTAGTGTGGGTTTGTGGGCGTCAGTTGGGTTTGTGGGCGTTAGTGTGGGTTTGTGGGCGTCAGTGTGAGTTTGCTTTATAATTGCAAATCTTCATCAAATCTTCTCTATATATTAATGTAAGTATTTTTTTGCCTTCAGGGGAAGACGCACGGGAGAACCGAAAGCATCAGCAGCCGAGACGAAGAACGCTCGTAACGATGCTAGAGTGTTATGGAGATACCTGAAGGAAGAGAAGGAAGATGAATGAGCTGTAGACGACCTGGAGTGGAGGAAAATTAGTAGGAGGAAAAATAAAGGAAGGATTTCATCAGTAGCAAGAAAGAAAGGAAGTTTCAGTAGCCAGGAGGGAGAGCGGTAGGATATCAGTAGCATTGTGGAAGGTAGTATGTCAGCAAGGAGGATGGTAGAACGTCAACAAGGAGGATGGTAGAACGTCAGCAGAAAGGCAAGAAGGTTGCACATCCTCACCCTCACGAATGTCACTGAGCTAGACTGATGAATGGCGGACATTCCAGCTGTCTGGTATCTTAGCTACCACCTTCAGATATTATACCACCATAGCCAGCCTCTCATACCACCACGAAGCCTCAAGTACCACCAGTGTAAATATTACTGGAAAACTGGTGAAGTCATACAATGCCTTCGATGCCTCACAGACAATTCTCAAACAGGAACGAGACGTTAGAAGCCAGAACAGGTCTCCAATACAGCATCTTAAGCTTCGCCTACTACTACTGTACCAGTTATATTTGTAGTCCAAACTTGGTAAAATATTCAAGGACTTCATCTGCCGGAAATACCTGGTGCACTTATGAAGATTCGGCAATAACTAACAACTTTGCTGTTATGTTGGTGCGGTGTAGGTGTGCCCGCCTTAACCAAGCGTGTCTCAGAATGTCTGTCTATGCTTGAGAGCTCTGTCGGGAATATCTTTCCCTGGCGAACATAACAGAAGTAGGAAAAAAAACTTGTGTACAGTTCAGGACATTTATCAGAGGAAACGTTTCGCCACGAGTGGCTTCTTTTTCTACATCTTGTCGGTATCATTATACCATTATCCGTAACAGTTACTCTCCACAACAAAGTTTACTACCTCCGAAACCAAGAGTATTGTCTAACATACTATCACAGTCACCACCATCACAATCACTTCTACACCAAGAATATCGTCCTCACCCACCATCACCAGCATAACACCTCCACACTGAGTATCGTCCTTCCATCACAAGCATAACGCCTCCACACTGAGAGTATTGTCCACTCCACCACCATCACCAGCAGGACACTACACTGAGAGTATCGTCCGACTCAGCCATCACCAGCAGGACAACACACCAAGTGTATCTTACTCTTGCAAAATGATTAAGACAAAGATAGTGAGTCTGGCCATGCTGGTGTGCCTGGGACTGGTGCTGATGGCAGGGTATTCCTTCATAACAACCGTCATCTCCTCAGCCTATCCCTTCAAAGGTAAGTCTCGCCTTGTTTAATACTCTAAATGGTGTAATATCCTCATAAACACGAGTGACCTGGGGAAACGAGGCGCTCGTCAAAAAAAAAAAAAAAAAAATTGGGTAGTCACCTTCGAATAAAACCGAATATAAAAAAAACGAAAAAATAAAAAATATGAAATTATACAGTAAAAATATTAAGCTCTAAACCCATATGAAATAAAAAAAGAGAGCAAAGGTGTCATTATTACACAGGAATATTCAGGTCCTTTATTGCAAACAGATATTTTATGGCTTCGAGAGTGTTAATTAAGTAGCATCGGGAAAGGCACTTGCTAGGAGGTAACTTAGTCACTCCCACTTCTACCAACTTTATTCACCAAGTTGTTGACACAGGAAAGTGGAAATGTGTAAAAATAAAGACGTGGAAACAGAGGCAAAATACAGCGTAAATGAGACTCCTTTATGCCAGTAACCTCTTCAAGGGGGGCTCCTTGGCGTGGTGAAGAGGCTCTTGGTCTGAGGAATTAGACCTGTCGGTCTCCTTCCTCAGACCGAACCTAATTACCCCCCCAATCCCCCTTCCCTATCCCATCCTCCCCATCCTCCCCTTTTCCCTTTCCTCCTCCCCCTCCCCACCCCTCCCTTTTGCCCTTCCTCTTTTTGGCCTTTAGGATTTTTCCCACAGGCGCGCTAGTTCCTAGGTAGGGGAAAGGGTATCGGGGTCCATCCCATTCCGTTGAGGTTCTTGGCGGTGGCGTAGTTTGCTGTGGAATCTGGATCGCCTGGGGATGTCCCGATCCCTCTCAGTATCACGGAGAGTGGCTTTGGGTGTCTTTCGGGCGACGGGTGTATCTCTGGAAGCCACCTTTCGGATTCCGGGGGTGGTGGCCGAAGGAGGTATGCTTTGTGGCGGATTTCCGGCCACCCTCTCATTTGTCCATCGAGGTAGCTCGGCAGATGTGAGGTTGCTATCCCAGATTGCCGGTTTACTGCATGATGGGTAGGGTATGGCATGGGTTCCATGCTGCATCTATGCTACTTGCGGTGCTGAGGTCCTCATGGTTGCGGAAGGAGATTTCTGGCCCTTTCATTCCTCCTAGGAACTATCCCTCCCCGGTCCCCCCTTTTTTATTTTTATTTTCTTTTCTTCTTTCTTTTTTTTTCTTAAAAACAAAAAAAGAAAGAAGTACCTAACCATGGAGAACCCAATCCATGAACCTGGTACCCCCGGGCCTCTTCTTGATACCGCACCCTGTTCTGACCCCGCCTCGTCTTTGGACCGCTCTTCGACGCCCCTCAGCCTCTGTACCTCTGCCGTGCGTTTCCTCACCTGCTTGTACTGGGGGTCCGAGACCCCTTTTGATTTACTGACCCCCCTCCCCTTTTTGATATGTTTCCAGCCTCCCCTCTAGGGTGCGACAATTTTCAAATCCCCGGCCCATTCCACGTGGACCAACTCGGGTCCCCGCCTAAACGCCAATGAAAATTACCTCTGATGAACCTCCCCCTTCTCGTTCTTTCAAAAAATCGACCCCCTGCACTCCCTTTTCCACGCTCATTTTCAGCTGCACAAGGGACTAAATTCTTCATTTACGCCCACTTCCCTCTACCGCCTATTTTTCCGCCACAGTATTGGCAAGGCACTCCTCCCATGTTGGAAAAGATATTTCTTTTCAGCTTTTAAAGAGGGGTATGCCATCAGGACAAATGCAACCCAAGTCATGTCTTCTCTTCTTTCCCATATAGATATGTTCCTTCATTTTTAAAAAAACATCATTCCCTAATTTTTGTGTGGTACACATTCTCCCCCATACCAAAGTTCAAAAATTCCAGACATGTGCAAAACTTTTCTTGAACAGCTGGAACCCATGATTCCAAATCCTCAAGGAGCCCTTTTTGTTCTTCCTGCTGCGGGGGAGAGGGTACCCTAGAAATGGGCCTTTTTAACTTTGACCGTGTAACCCCATCCTCATTTATGTAGAGGACATCATTACAAAGTTCGAAAGGGGATCCCTACACCGCAACAGTGTAGAAATTGCTGGTTTTTTGGGCCATCCAGCGAAATATTGCAGACCCCAACCCGAATGCCCAGTCGTGGGCTGAGACCATTCTAATACTCTTGCAATCGACCTCCCTCTTGTCTTAATTGTCATGAGGTCACCCTTCATACTCTCACCATTGCCAATCTACTTAAATAGGGAAAACCCTTCCTCAAAAGGCAGAAGGTCTCCCCTTTTGCCATGGCAGTTTCTCATCTCCGCCCCAAGGGAACTACCTTGTTTCTTATTCCCTGTTTTAAAAAGGCCCCCCCCCCCTTCTGGGGTCCCCTCTTCTGCAACCTCCACTGTGGTTACCTCTCCCATGTCACCCTGTATTAATTCTTTTGCGTCCTAGGGTCAGACTCTCTACTTCAACCCTCGTCGTTCTTGCTTTTTCGTGTTCTCAGTCACAAGCCTCAATATCGACGAGACCTCGTAGGGCACCTACCATCTTCCCTCTACTTTCAAAGTCAAAAAAAAAAGGGCCTTTAACCCCCTCCTTCCCTTCTTCCACCTCCTCATTTTACCTTCCCCGTCTCTGTCCGGGTTTTTTCCCCCCTTTACTGCCTGCTACAAGTTGAGGTTTCACCCCCTCCTGTACTATACCCACCTCCTCTGTTCCCCCCAAGTTTTTTCCTCTTCCCACCCCCCCAGGTTTTTTGCCTCTTTTGTCCCCTTCCACCTTCTTTTCCAGTTTTTCCCCACCCTTTCGCCCCCCCCCTACCTTGGTACGTTTTATCAGTTCCAATCTTTTCATCTTCCCACTT